GGAGAGGATGAGAAGGAGATGAGGAGGATGAAGATAAGTAGGAGGAGGAGGAGGAAGAGGAAGGGGCGGAGGAGGAAGCCTCTCGTTGGCATCTTGTGTTGCTCTTGGGGCCAAACAGGGTCGTCGTCAAGATGCTTCTCTGGGAGGCCTCTTGGGATCTTTTCAAAAGCCGTTCGAGGGCGCCTGGGAGGCATTTTTGAAGTCTTCTGGGGGGCCTCCTGGGGGCCTCCTGGGACCTCTTGGGGGCCTCTTGGCGGTATCTTGGGGCCTCTTTGGGGCCTCTCGGGGCCTCCTGGGGCCCTCTTGGGGCGGAAGGCTCGAGGTTTTGGTTCGTGGTCCCCCTCTTGGGCCCCTCTTGGGGCCGTCTTGGGGCCGTCTTGGGCCGTCTTGGGCGCCTCTTGGGTCGTTTCGGGGCCCTCTTGGGCCCTCTTGGGGCCCTCGTGGAAGCCTCTTGGCCCGTCTTGGGGTGCTCTTGGGGGCCTCCTGGGCCGTCTTGGAGCATCGGATGGCCGAAAAGGGGACAAGGCCCAAATTCTTTCAAAACCATCGTAAAATGTCTGATTTGGGCCTCTCAGGGCCCTCTTGTGAGGCCTCTTGGGGGCCACTTGGAGGCCTCTTGGGCCGTCTTGAGGTCATCATCGGCGTCTTGGAGCGCTCTTTAGGCGTCTCGGGGGCCCTTTGGGCAGTCTTGGGGGCCTCTTGGGGCACTCTTGGCGCGCTCTGGGGGGCCTGAGAAGCCACACCCAGGAGGAAAACCATCTCTGAGTAGCAGTGGTCGGGCGGCGGTCGGGGTACTTTTCGCCGGGGGACCCCCAGGGGCCGCCCCGCGCGCGCGAACTAGAAGTCTTGTTTAGCAGTTACCGGAGATCTTAGCACGCCTTTGGCCCGTTGGGCCGGCGAATTTCCATCGATTATTTCCATGTCTCAAATATTTTCAACGGTCCCATCGGTCGAGGCGCTGCCAGGAATTCAGGTCAGCGCGACCTCCCATGCCCCACTTCGGCGCGGCTCATCGGCCGAGGTCGCTCGGTCGAGCGCGCGCGCGTCGCCCCCGCGCCTCGCCCCTTCCCCGCCGACGGGCCCGCTGGGCGCCGCAGGCTTGATCGCGAGGGGCCCTGGGCCCCCGCGCGGAAGGGCGCGAGTGGAGTTCATGCTCCGCGATCCTCGCCCATGCTTGGAACGTCATCGCGCGCGAGGTCGAGCGCGGGCTCGCAGCGCATTCGACGCGGGGGATGAGGGTGCACATATGCGCGCGAGGCGCGACAGGCCTCCGCAGGCGAAGCGTCGCCCCCGCGCCGGCCTCCCAAATCCCCGAGCTTCGGGGCGTCTCTCCCAGGCCGCGTTCGCTGAATAACCTGTCTGCGCGTATGAATTCTGCCGCCGCGAGGCGCGCGGCCTCGCGCGCGCGCGCCCGCGCTGCGGCCCGTCGGCAAGCCAGCGGCCGAGGCCCCGTGCGGGCGCCCGCGCGGGCGCGGCACCCGCTGAAGGCAGGCGGCTACATTTCCCCATCCCGGAGGCTGGTGTCCTGGACGGCGAGTTTCTGAAGTTCCTCTCTGGGGCAATTCGGGGCGAAGCTTCCTAGCCAGCAAAGGAGGGCGTGGGGGGTCGCGAGAGGTCCTCTAGGCGCTTGGTCTCTAAGCAGGCGGGGGGAGGAGCTGGTGCCCCAATCGCCGAGACGCCCACTGGGTGGCGCGGGGGCGCCGAGGTTGTCCCGCTGCGGCCGAGGGCTACGCAGAAGGAGGCTGAGAAGCCCCCGGCGGAATGGAGTAGGTGGAGAGGGTGGCCGACTGGCATCGGGGCGTCGCGCGGCCTCCTGATCTGGGGCGACGTCCTGAGCGGCCCGCAATGGCTCGCCTGCGGGAGGTCCCGCGCACGTCCCCGAGGCATTCTGGGATGTCCTTCTGTGTGCTCGGGACGCGCCGGCTCGGTTTTCTGTGCGATTCTGCCTTAAAATTTGCCGGGCGCCCCGGTTGCCGCGGAGGGCGCGGCGCGGCCGAGTGGCCCGCCATCTCCGCGAAAATTGCGCGCCTGGCCAAGGGCCTCGGGGGCGCGCGGCCGGCAGCTTTAATTCGCGTGCTCGCTCGAGTTCAGGCGCGACAGCGCCGCCCGAGAGCTCGAGATTGGGGGCGCCGGAATAGTCGGGCTTGCATCTGGGCCTCCAAGTGAAGATCGCGCGATCGACGGGCCTGGCAGCGCACCGCCCGGTTGGCGCTGAGACCAAGGGCTCTGCTTGGGGCGTTTGGACTTGTGGAACGATGGCTCTTGATTTACTGTAGGTCTTTGAGAAGGTGGGTCGCCTTGGCCTCTCGAGGTTGCCGCGGCAACGGGGCCCCCTCTCTGGCAGTTGGAGATGCAAGTGGCCTTGTGCCCGTTCTGAACAGGACCGTTGCGCCGGGCAAGTTGCCCCCCTGCCGCCAGGGGTCGAGAAGGCCGTTCCCCCCCGGCGACGGATGGGCAACGTGCTCTGTGAGGGTGGTCTTCATTCGGCAGCTTGATGAGG